ATGGAGTGACATTAATTCCGACAAAAAAAACAATTGACTGTTATTTTTTGTCGTCTGTCCAATAATGTACACTTATTAGTAACATGACAATATGGCTATATAGAAACATGGCATTGCAGTTATACGGCAATGTGTTTTACAACCTTACAGCTTTCACAACTTCATTAGAAATATACCCCATTGTGGATAATTCAGTAATTACTCGTTGACAGTACCCCGGGCTTTACTCAAGGACTTCATTTATAAAATGCATTATGGGTGCTACTCACGAGCACAAATCTCATTGGTGAGAAAAGGGTGCTTTATATGGTAAGATATTACTGTATTTTAAGGATACAAAAACAAGGATTTTTTTTTTCGTAACAATGATTTGCGTCATTCAATGACTTTTTGAAAATGGCTGTAGTTTAGAAACTTATGTTACAACATGTATCGATTTGGTCTCTGTAATACTAACCAAAAAAAGGAATTATAACAAGAAACTTAACGTTAATATGTGCAGTTAAAAATTCAAGGTTAGCGGTGAAAGTAAGGGTAAATACTAAAATTTCATTTCCGACACTTTACTTAATACATCGAGGGTTAATTTAGACACTCCTTTTCTTTATTATTGCATTGTATTTTTTACGTTTTCTTTGAATTTGCCAATCCATTCTGTATAAAGTTTATGTTACAGGGCGATAAGTATTTGTAACACAAAATTTTGTATTATCTATAAGAAACTAATTCTCACCAGACTTGCGGCTACTAACTAATACAAATTATTCTTTAATACAGTAATAATATGAAATTCGTTTTAGCATCATTTATTATTAATTTTTTAATTTGTGGTATAAATGCATTCGTTCCTTCCCCAAGAACAGAAGTAGCCTCCATTCTTGTTAATAATAAGATATACTTTAATGGTGGATGGAATGGCTTTTATGTTTCTGACTTTTTTTATCTTGATGTCTCAATACCCTTTACCACATATAATATAACATCAATGCCTTGGACTGATCTTTCTTCAATTCCCGGTCGAGTAAACAAAACTGCATGTGCAGTCTGTTTCAATGGAACAAATAAAACTTCGATCATTTATGTTGGTGGTTCTGGTATCTTAGAAACCGATCGAATTTTGTTTCATTATTTAATGTTGCGACACAACAATGGAGTTTACCAAGCACGTCAAAGAATTTTAGTACTTTAATTACACAACGAAACTTTATTCAATGTATTGTTTCAGGTAGCAAAATATATATTTATGGGGAGATGCTAGTCAATATAATATGCTTAGATTAGATACATTGAATTTAATTTGGGCGGAAGTTTATTCTGGAATAATGGCACCAGCTATACCTAGAGGTTATAGTGCTACACTCTTAAATGATACTTCTATATTATATATTGGAGGTTGTATAAATATAAGAACTATAAACCCAATATTTACATATAATTCATTGGATAAGGTATGCAAACTACAAACTTCATTTAGTTTTTTTTACGATTATATCGCTAATTAATGTTTTACTTTATTTACTTTAAATAGTTACCATTATACAATATGAATGATAATACTTGGGGTGTGGTCGTAAGTTATATTAAAGTTAACCATTACATGACTGTATATCTTGAGGTGAAATACTATGCTACATTATACTGGATAAATTGAAATTATTGGATCCATTTTGTGATAGCACTAGAACCATAGAATTAACAAATCCATATACATTAAAACTCATATTAATTGGATTCTTTATATCATTTTTTAAAATAGAATGCCTTTATCTAAGATTAATATGTAGGCATTAAAAAAAGATTTTTTCGTTTAAAGACATAAATAATCCAATTGATATTAGGAAAATAGAAACTATTGAAAGTTTGAAGAATTATTTTTAAATGTGATTATTTGAATGTCATGATTAATTATTATATAGTCATATTTATATCATAAATAATCAATCAAAATTATAATTGCTGACAAAGACTTTTTGCCTTTAATAAAAAATTTATGGATATATTATAAACAATAATTTAGCTAGCATTAATTCATTTGCTTTTATATATTCATGTTTTTTAGTTTACATCAGGAAACATCCCATTGCCAAGATGTGATCACGGAACAGTTTTTATACGTAAGTAGTATAAATGTCTTCTGCGTTACAAATTTTAATTATTGTAATTATATCTAATTTTATTAATAAATATATCTATTCAAAATATAACTAAGTATAATCAAATTTTAGTACTTTATGGGTCAACTACCTCAATTATTGCACTCGACACATTGAAATTTGCATGGTCGTTTTCTACAATTTCAAATGATGGTGGTCCTCTATCTAGCCTATATGGCTTTGCTTCACTTCTAGTTGGTGCTTATATTTTTATTGGATTTGGAAGAATTGGTAAGCACAATATTATATCATTAAAATACAAAATTAAAATTTTAATCTTATTATATTTAAATTCCAGATGATACCAATGATAATGTTATGAATAATATTTTTCTTCTTGATGTAAGCCAAAAAGATTCTTATAAATGGACTAACTCATATGATCCGAGCAAACAGCTCCAATTCATTTCACCAACCCAAACTCCAACTACTACTGAAACGCCATCCTCCTCAACTAGTAACGTTGGTGCAATTATTGGAGGCACTTTTGGTGGAATTGCGGGTCTCATAATTTTAATAACCATTGCGATTCTTATTGTTAAAAACTATGACCGTTCTCATGATTCCAAAAATATATTAAAAATACCAGACGATCGAATGTCATAACAGTTTAATTGTCAGAAAAATCATATATGAGTGCCGCCAAGAGAAAACACGCAAATCTCATCTAATAAGATTTACTGGTTTTCTCTTGAAAACACTCATATTTTATTTATTCAAGTTATTGTATCTAGAAATTTTAATGTGTCAATTGTACTACGAACTTGGAATTACTAGAATATAATTCTTTATATGTTTAGCAAATGCTTGTAGCAGAATTAACGTATTTGGAAATATTCTAAGATGCAACAGATTTTAAATCTACTTAGGTATTATTACTAAAATTTTCTATATTGTGATTATATTTTTAGGCTATTTGTATAATTTATTTTTTGCAAATCTGTAATTTCATTTTATATAATTGTTTTTTAATCTATTCTTCTTTTTTCTAATGATTTATCATTTCTAATAATATAAATTACTCCTTTTATCATTAATATTGCTACTAGTTGTTTTAATTGAAATTTGAAATCATGTATTTATTTTATATTTGTAGTTTCTTATCTAAAATCGTACCTTCAGTATAAACAATAATGCGTATTCTAGTTTTAATCTTTTTCCTCTACGCCATTTGCGTATGTCATTAGCATTATGAATGTATTAAATCGTTGTTAAATAAATATCCATCGGTAAAAACTAGAATGAGCAGCTTTTGAAATTATACATGACATCCAAATTGGGGGCACCCTTTTATTTTTTAAAATCCTTTGAAATTAGATTTTTAAGAACATTAAGAATTGCGAGCATATCAAAAAATTGATAGTACAGAAGAAATTGTATATCGATATGATAAACGCTATGTAGAATTATTAGAAGATTTTGTAAAAATCTACTTGATTCAAATAGGGCAGAAGACCATAACAAATGTGAGAAAATGTATTTTTATATATTTTAGATTTTTTTAAAGGCAATATCTAATTGTACATGGGTATATAGAAAAGCCAGCTAATATCTCAAAATTTTAATTATGAAACCACCATTTGGCTTTTAACAAAAACAAAATTCTGTAAAATTTTGGTATAAACTATTCTCCACCTCTATCCAAATCCACCCTTACCCTAACCTTAGGCAACGTCTAACTTTTTGTTCTATAGAAATTGTTTTGATTTGCACATTACACAAATTTGCAATTCAATTAATAGAACCTTAAGCAATCTATGTAGAGGTAAGAGTTTTAAAAATAAAAGGGTGCCCCCAATTTGGATGTCATGTATAATTTCAAAAGCTGCTCATTCTAGTTTTTAC